TTCATCATTCTCAACTATATCACAGAAGCACAGACAAGAGCTCTCTCATGCCTATTTCAGGTTACAAAGTGATGAAGCTTGAAAGTGTAAAAAGAAATAAAACAAACAATTGGAGCAAAATATTACTGTTAACTCTGAATTTCTAACAGAAAAAAAAAAAAAAAAAAGAACAATTTTGTACTTCATTCTCACTTGAAAACATCAGCTATGAGTGTTTCTTTGTACGCTGTGCCATTTATATCTAAGATGGATCAAGAAAATGTGCTAGTCTTGCTAGGAACAGAATATTACATTTAGAGGACTCATTCAAAATTGCTTTCAGGCAATGAAAAACTCTTTGCTTTAGACTTCAGAGGCTGAATTTTTACTAGAGAAGAAAAAACTTACTAGCAAATAGTTGCATAACTGCAAGTTAATGTCCCTGACAGCGAGGATGTCAAAAGGTCTTCAGGTCTTCTATGAACTGGTTACAGTTAAGTATGTTCAGACTCTAGTCACTTGAAGTAGAACTACGGGGAGTTGGACTAGATGACCTTTAAAAGGTCCCTTTCAACTCTAAGCATTCTGTGATTCAATGAACACTAATACCTTTAACATATTCCAGTAATAAGATAAATGATAAAAAAAATGCAAAACAAAAATCAGAAGCCCAAGCAGACAATCTGCTTTGTTAAACAAAATTCATTCCAACTTCTACTAAAGACTTTATTCTAGTCAAAAGCCCTTATAAAACAACACTACTAAGTTTATTGTTCAAAGTCAGGAAACTTGTAAGTTAAATCTGAATTCATATTTTCTTTACAAAAGATTTTGGAAGTGCTTTCGTGACTGCTCTGCATTTGTGAGGACTGAAACACTGTGTTCAGATGAAAAGTCTTCAGTACGGGAGAGATGCAGACCTGTTGGAGCACATCCATAAGGAGGGCCACAAAAATAATCCACAGAATGGAATATCACTCCTATAAGAACAGGCTGAAAGAGCTGGGGCTGTTCAGCCTGAAGAGAATGTTCTGAGGAGCAGCCATTCAGTATCTAAAGCTGTAAGAAAGAAGGGGACCGACTCCTTAGCAGGGTGTGCTGTGACAAGGCATGGGGAAATGGTTTCAAAGCAAAGTAGGCAGATTTAGATTTGATATAATGAGGAAGGTGTTTTTGCAGTAAGAGTGGTGAGGCACCGCCACAGGTTGCCCAGAGATGGTGTGTGTCCCATCCCTGGAGACATTCAAGATCAGGCTGGAAGGGCTGGGTGTCCCTGTTCATCACAGGGGAGTTGGACTAAATGATCTTTAACAGACACTTCAAATTCAAATGATTCTATGATAATGTTAAATTATCAAACTTTACATTACATGAGAAAATTACATAACCCTCACAATTGACTAAGAAGCAAGGGAATGAGCACAGTGGCTTGTCTGCCACCTATCTATTGTTACAGAACCACAGCAGTATGTGCTCATGCAAACCTGCAATCAGAAATTACTTCACACCACATTCCACTTGTCTAGTAGCTACCAAGACCTACACATAATACAAGGACTTCCCTGAAACGTTAAAAGGAAGGAGAAAAAGAAACAAAACAAAACCACCACAACACACTCCCAGTGTATGACTGTGACATCACTTCAACCATTCTGACAGTTCATAACTTCCCTGGAGTCCATTGCATTCATCTGTAAGCAGCATTAGGAAAGCAAGAAAGAAAGAGCTCAACTCTGTCCTGGTTAAACTATTAAGTTCTCAAAAACAGTAAAATCACACATCAAAAAGCAGTAATTAGAACTTTCCACGTAGAGAAAATGAATAAAAACAAAGCAAAAAAAAAAAAAAAAAAAAAAAAACACCTTTCCCTTAAAAGCTACTGTAGTAAATTTTAAGGAAAAACAAACAAACAAACAAGAAAAACCATGTTGGTGTTCTGTATGAAAAAAAAAAAAAGGGTACATCACTCAAAAGATCTGCTCTACATGCTACAAGGGCTGTTCTGAAAGCCTTTAGAATGCTTCTCCTGGATCACTTCAATTCCTGATGATTGGGAAAAGGAGATTTCCCCTTCAGCCAAACCATGCCCCTTTCAGAAAACAGAGGTAAGATCTCTGAAACGTGCAATGGTCCTCACGTATGATTTTTTTGGGTCGTTACCTGAGAAGATCAACAGATTATCCTAAGTCTGAACTAACACCTACAGATAAAGAAAGAAGCCTACAGATGCAAAGAAAAACTTTTAAAGGCATTGTTGGATAAAACCAGTCCCTGTTCTTTATATTTGTACACAGACCAAAACAATTAAAGAATGTCACTGGCTGTAGTTTAACTCAGAATTCAAAGGAAGTTTGGCAGTTCTAGTTTACAAGACTCATAATGACAGCAAAAACGACATGATTTGCTTAATCTGACACTACCACAGAAACCGCAGAACAACACTGCCACCCTGCCCCCAATTTACAAACTTTTATTCCGGAAGGCACACTGGAGCAGCTTATCTACTGACTTAGAGTCTTAAGCAATTTGTTAAGAGCTCAGAAGACACTTTTTAATTGAGGTGCAGAAGTAGGTAAGCAGAGTACTAACCTAGCTTAAAAGATAATGACATATTTATCCCTTCTCTTCAGTCTTTATAAAGAAAGAAAATATTTTTACTCTAACTGAAAGTAACTTCCAAGAGTCACTTAAGCACAACTTGAAGGAAGGCATGATACACACACAGGTGCCCACATTCATCCATCACACAATTCATTTCCCCTCCAAGCCACTTCAATTTTTGCATTTTAGCAAGTGGACACACATATTTTTTGTTGGTCTTTTGGTTTTAAGCTAACAGTTTTGCTTAAGTGAATAAACAGTATGCCATATTTATTAATTGGAAATTGTTAAGTCATTAGTTGTCTTTTTTTTTTTTTTCTTAAATTTCCAATCTAGTGTTTTAACAGTGTAAGGATACCGAAGCATGAAAAAGCTGAATGCAATACTAACTTCCTGTGACAGATATTGGTTTTTGGGAACAAAGAAGAGTCAGGTGGAAAAAGAAGAATTTCCTTTCCCATGTACATTCTTCTCAGATAAAAATAAATAAATAAATAAATAACAGGGAAATGCATAGCAATTTCAACTTACCAAAGTTCTCAATTTCACATGAAATGGAAAAGGTCAAGCAACAGAACTAGCAAACATTTCTCTTCCTTCCAAGGAATTAGGCAAATAAATTGGCTCTGAACTCTGTGAGTACTCCCAAGATTTAAGAAGCACCTTCAGGTAGGTGATTATTTTAACTTTATTGACAATCCTTAAACAAGAACATATAAACTCGCAATGTTTTGCTCACTGATGTTCAAGAACAAATGTAAATCATCTTTCCAACAAAATGAATTTACACTCTTTCAGTAGCAAGCTGTTCCATGCTGACAGATTAAACGTGTCCCAGGTACATAAAATTGCTTTCATGTTTTCAGGCATTATTATGTATTTAAGGGAATTATCCTACAGTATCACTGAAAAAATAATGGTAAGCTATTTGAGCTACATGCATTTACAAAATCACACCTTTATTCTTACGAACTAAAACACACATCAAAGTGATAAAAGGATTCTAAGCAGTTTCACAAGCATCATCAGCTGGAAACACTTCCAGTTGCCCCATCTGAAAGCGCCTCAAGTTTTCAGATAAGCTATGCTTTTACAACTGCTAAACCTTTCTCAAATGGAAGAAAAATCTTCAGTAGAAAATATCTGAGATTTCTTAACTTTTGCTCATATTAAAATAAATTATTCAGTGTAAACCTCTACCAACATGGCAAACCATACCAAATGCAGCGGACACATTAAAAAAGCAGCCCAAGTTAATGAAGAATTATCACAGTCAATCACTAATCGCTTAAAAAAAAAAAAAAAAAGATTAAACTAAATTAAGGGGAGACACTACCATGGCAGTATTGTCTTTCAAGCATACATTTATAAATAACCCAGCCATCTGGGGTTAGTGACAGTAATAAAATTGGCTTACTAGACAGTAAACTTGCACAACTTGGACAGAATTTTCAATACGACAGAGGTCCCATGTGAAAACACAGCTGAAATACGAAAAGTGTTTCATGCAAACACTGGAGAGCTCCCCTTAAAAATCAGATGGCATTCAGTCCTTTTCTCTCTGATGTACAGTTTAAACAACACGCAGATCTGGAAGCAGAACACCCTGCTTTAACTTGGCTGAGAACTGGTCCTGTTCCAAATGTAAGACTCCTACCCTCCTCCCAAAAAAAAACCAACCAAACAAACAAAAACAACAGGTAAACAAACAGTGACACCAAGTTGTAACATCTCATGCCACAACACAAAGAAAGATAAGTGGCACAAACAGGTCCTCCGAGGCCTGACGCTCACACAGCCCGCTCAGCTGAACGCACACGCGGAGGCCCCAGCCGTGCTCACAGCCAAAGCCGAGCGGTGACCTCTCCCGGCGCGCACGCAGGAAGGTGACAGCGGCTCGCTGTGAGGGGCAGTGCTCCTCCTGCTCCTCGCCCTCCTCCTCAGTCCCACCCCACGAAGGTGAACCCGGCCGTTACACCACCTTCCCCCCACTCCTCTCTTCCATCCCAGCCGGGCGCTGACAGCGGCGGGGCTCAGCCTTCGGACGGAAGGAACGTGGTGCCGGGCTGACAGCGGCATCCCGTTCCCTCCGCCGACAGGCCGGGCTGGGGGGCTCTCCACAGACACTGCCAACACAGAGGGGAAAGCGGGAGCCGCCGTGCCTCTCCGCCGCCCTGCAGCAGGGCGCGGGGCTACGACGGGTTAACGCCGGAAAGCCGGAGCGAGCGCTCGGCGCGGCGCCCTTCGCCATTTTACCCCCACGCCCATCGCCCTCCTCCCGCCGCGCCGTGACAGGGCAGCCCCCAGCCCCCGCTTCCCCGCTGCGGACGCGGGGAAAACAGGAAAGCTGCGGCCGTTCTCCTCCTCAGACCGGCCCGGACCGCACGGCGGAACGGCTGCGGCACCGTTTCGTTCCGTACCGCGGCTCGCAGCCTCCCAGCTGCTGCCCTCGCCTCCTCCACGCACCTTTTTCTCCTTCTCCTTTCTCTCCCGCCGGCTGCTCACCCCTCCGCGCCGCGCTCCGCCGCGCAGGATGATGCCATCTCACCGCGGCATCGGAGGATCGCGCACGGCACCCCCTGCGCGCACCCGCCGGCCGGACAGCCCCGTGTGCGCGCCCCGGGCCCGGGAGCAGGAACTCGTGGAGCCTCCTCCGCCGCCCGGGCCCAGCCGGAGCCAAGCAGTGCGCAGCGGCAGTGGGAGGGAGAAAGGAGAGGCTGAAGCGAGGCTCTTCCAAGGGGACAGGGCTTATTGCGAGCGCCTGCCCCGGGCTGAACCAAGTCGGGCGCTGCGGCGGGGAGAGAGCCGGGCGCGCTGAATCAGCCGCTCCGCGCGGGGAGGAGGAGCCGCGCTCCAGCACGGAGGTGGTGTCCGTGCGCGGCGTGCGCGGGCCGGATAAGGGTGACTGCGGTTAAATCGCCTGCCCCGAGAGGGCTCCGGGAGGTGCGGGGCCGGCGCACCCAGCAGCTCTGCGAGAGATAAAACGGAGGCGGCTGCTTCCGGGACCTGCCCGGCTGGGCTCCTTCCCTTGACGTCCCAACTCGGGAGCAAGCTCGGAGGGGAAGGCAGCTGACAGGAGCACCAGGGCGGTGCGAGTTCCCCTTCCTGCATGGTACCTCGGACTCTGCGCCGGGCTGGGCGTGAGGCTGCCTATGGGGGCCTGCGCTGCCCCCGTGCACGAGGCTGAGGGGCAGCTTTGCTTCTTCACACCATATAGCATACAGCGTGCTGCTAACGTGGTTATAACGCAGGCTTAGGGGTGTAAACAAGGCCTCTGAGGATCTGTCACAACGCCCAGCGCCGCTGTTAATTGCATAGAACAAAAGCTTGCAGTGTGAGACCCTGAAGTGACTGCCAGCAGTTTTGTTGTTTCTGGGAAACAACATGAGTGCCAATAGCCTGATTTGGACGCATGGATTCCTTCAGGAAACAAAAGGGAAGCAGGCAGATAGAAGTTCTACTTTCCAAACTAATCATTCTTTATGCAGGATTTGTAGGAGAAGCACAAAGTTTGGGAAAGATGATGTTCTGTAAAGTTAAAGTTTAAGAAATATCTTAGATTGGGCTTCTCAAAGGGAGTGTCCCACTCAGCTCTGCCTGGTGCAGCCTCATCTCAAGCGCTGGGTGCAGGTATGGGCACCACAATATCGGAGCTATTAGAGGGCAGCCAAAGGAGGGCTGTAGGGCTGTGGAGATGGGGAAGGATCTGAGGGCAAGGTGTATGAAGACCAGTTGGGGTCCCTGTGTGTGCTCAGCGCAGAGCAGAGGAGCTGAGGGGAGGAATGATGGTGGCTGCAGCTCCTCACAGGGAGTGGAGGGGCAGCACTGAGCTATGCTCTTTGTGACAGCTACAGGAGACGGGCGGATGGGGATTGGGGACAGGTTCTGCACCAGAGTGTTGGGACCCTAGAGTAGGCACCCAAAATCAGCAGTCATGGCTGTAAGCTTCCAGAGTTCAAGAGCGTGTGGACAGAGCTCTCGAAGGAGTTGGATTCAATGATCTTAGTGGGTCCCTTTCAACTCAGGATAACCTATGATTCTATGATCTTCTTTTCACTGATAAAACTCCCTGGAAACTGAAATATTTTGAGTTTTTGCACACTGCAATTGTAACATGTTGAAAATATCCAAATAATTTATCAGGACAGTGTCTCTGATAAAGCAGATTTTATTCGCAATTGCAATGGCGGGCTTCCTGCAAGCAGGACAGCACCCAGAAAACTGTTACATCTTTTTATGTCCTGTTGCCCGACACTTATCTCATTCTCCCCTAGTTCCTCATTGGCTGAGTACTTTAGGTTCACAGTCTTCTCAACGCTTCACTAAACATACAAACACTGGAGAAACATAAGTCTTCACTGGCTAAGCGTAAACCTCCAATTAATTAATTAGCTTCTGACCCTTCCTCCACCCTTGGTCATTGTTTCTGGATATCTGCTTGTCCTCCCTTGCATAGAGATAAGCTTGGAAGGAGGACAGAGGGGAGTATCTTGATGCCTGCCTGTCACATCCCAACCTTCCCAGAGAGTGAGACAGTCCGGCCTTGTGTAGAGGCCCTAGCTTCTTTGATGTTTGTTAAATCTGTTTTTCTTTTGCTGGGAGTTTCTTATCCTAACAGAACAACCCTACAGTATGTTTTCTAATCCCTAACACTATACCCACATTGTTTGGAACATTTAACAAATATTGCAGTTTTGCAAGAAAGAATCAATCACGTAATTCTTCATTCTACTTCTTCAAACCAGTTGCCCTTTTTAATATCTAATGCAGAAACAAAATTCCATTCCCACAAACAGGAGGATCAATCTGCAGACTGACAAGGTTCATCATGAGCAAAGTTTTGAGGTTTTCAGATGTACCGAATTCAATAAATACTTCTTTATGCTTTATGTTCATGAACTAAAGATTACATTCAAGGAAAACTACAGTCTTGCATCTGTTCTGGGCCCCAAATTAGGTACTAATTTTCTCAAACAAACAAGGATTTTTTATAATCCTTGAGAGTGTGCTAGTAAGTTCCACCTATCTTTCCCACATTTTTTTTTTAATCTGACGTAGAGCAGTTTAATTGAAACCTAGAGTAAAAATGCCAGTACACTTAGGTAGCAATAATTTTAATGGGTAAAAAAAATATACCAAGGAACTTTTCATTGGATGCAGCATTGCATTCTCAGTAGCGCAGAAGAAGTGGAGGAAACAGCACCATTTGTATCTCTTTGTGTACATATGCTACTGTGAATCCGCTACTCCGCTTCTGTGAATCTCCTCTTCCTAGGCTTTGCTTGTTGGTCATGTTAATAACCTGATGCTGACATTTCATTAAAAGTATGAGCATTATTATTTCAAAATAGTCTACATGTATAAAAACACATAGTGCTTCCTTCTTGCTTTATGAAGTATGTAAAATGTGTAGTGGCTTGAGACAATACTCTGTACACAAGCTGTGCTCTTCTCTGGCTTGCTTCCTCATTGTTTCAAAAGAAGCCTTGCCGTACATTTGTCTTGCCCTGCACAACAGTGACATTCCAAGAATTATTCTCTCTTAAAAAGTCATTTGATACCCTTACAAAAACAAAATGTCACAAATTCGTTAATGTTACAATTTTGGCTTTAAATGTCTTATAAAACCTCAAGATTCTTCACCTTTGTGAATTTTTCCAATTTTAGGATTAATAGGTAATAAAATATATGCATAGTGTTCGTAATCTATACATGGAAAAGTCACTAAATACATTTAAATTATACTTAAGAGCTATGCTTGTTAAGAATCACAAAAAGTATAAACACAGCTTTCTTCATTTTGCACATAATGACCTTATTTTTTTCTACTGTGCTACGGCCAGTAAAGATATACAGTGCTGAAGGCCTGGGAAGAATGAATGCTGCTTCAATTGCTTTTGTGCCTTAAAGCTCTGTTCTTTAGGGGTTAGAATACATAAGCCTTATCAAAACATAAATCAACCAAAGTTTGACCTTTACAAATAAGTCTGCATGAAGATTTATTTAAAATACAATGTAGAAGTCATTTGTACACAGTATTCTTGATAGTCATTTATGAGTCCATTAAAAGTATTATTACTGCGTCTCTTTGGGTGTATTTCTGCTTTTTATTTTCCTTGCAAACTCAGGATGGTTATGGAAAAGTCAGATTCATAATTGATATCTACAAAATAGACTCCAACATACACTGATTTTATTCTTAAATGTTTTTAGATATTTTCTGGCATGGTTGAACAATTGGTATATTTAATAGGCGTGGATTTGGGTTTTTTTTTTTTCAAAATCTAGGTTATAGAAGATGTCCACTGCTTGGAGTTGTCTTGTCTTTTCTGTGAACTTAAGAAGTTTGGGATCCAGACAGTCGTTAGTTTATCAGCTGAAATCTGTGGTGAGCTGGATCCCAGGGAAATGACTGGGATATACCCAATAGACAAATGTCTGAAATCAACATGAAGTACGGAAGTTACTGTAAGGACAGAAGCAGAGGGAAATGTAGCAGCAGGGATTGCCAGACTTACAATGTCATTGTGAGTAGAGAACTTGGGACCTAGGCAATCAGTGTTTTGTGCCCTCCTCAGTTTCAGAAACCCAAACCAACTACAAGACCTGCTCTTGTGCATTTTTTTTTTTTTTTTTTTTTTTTTTTTTTTTTTTTTTTTTTTTTTTGCAGCTTCACAAAGGCACACTGAGTAGTGCAAGACTACAGCTAGGGAACTTAGTTGGAACAGCTGGAAAGTTTTAGGTTTTGGTCCTTCTTCCCAACAGTATTCAGACATAACCAATGGCTTTTCAATGCACAATATTGGCTCGTGTTCCAGAACAATAAACACTCCCTGTAACAACTGAATGTCTGCACTGTTGGCACACTGTCAGAGTCTCCTCATATTGCTCTTTCTGATTCCATGGTTGTTACAATCTGAAAGTAGACTGCATGTTATTATCCAAATGCAGGATATTTTTATATATATTTATGTAAAATGTATCTTAAACATATGAAAATATTTTATTTATATGGCAAATAAGGGACAGGGTTTTCTTCCAATTGTAGTATATATTTTTCGACATTATGCTCGAAGTAGAATCCTATGCTAATCTGCATATTTTAAAAGTTTCTAGTTTTAGAATACTTAAGGGTATTGGGTACAGTACCTTCCAGTTATCTACTCTTTCTCCTCCCATCTCCTCCCATCTCTCTGAAGTATGCATATATTGCTTCATATTTGAGCTATGAAATATATGTTCTACTGTTATATACACGATACCTGATACAGTAACACTCTATCTAGTCTGTGATCCCTGATGCCTAGCAAGAATTTGCTGATTGATTGCGTAGAAATGATTCAGTTTTTGAAGCAGCTTTGCAGAGAAATTAAAAAATGACAAATTGCAAAGACCTGATTCCAGTTCATAAAAATCAATAAAACTGTTTGGCTCTTAGACAATATTAATTTCTTTACCTAGAAATTTAGAAATAAAATGAGAATCTTTCTCCTGTGTCTGACCAAAATAAGTTAATCCATAAGTTGTACTTGCAGAGGATGAATGAAGGACTCAGTGGGGCAAAAAAACATTGATTTTCATCTACAGTTCCATAAAGTGTAGGTTCCCTTATGTACAAGCATCTTCTGATCTTTTGAGAGTACATTTCAATACCATGATGTTTTTGTTTTTTCAGATCTGTTATTCATCCTTGAGGCACTGGGGAACTAACAATACATTTATTACTTTCTTCATGTAAGCATAGAGTTTTGTGTGCCAAATCCCAAAAATCAATGAAAACAA